GATGTGTGGATACAGACGAAAAATTGTAGTCGATGTTGCTTTTAATAAATATTTTCTACGTCCCAGCTAAATGTTTGTACAGTTTGTACGCGGTTAAATATTTGTACAGTTTGTACTGTCCGTGTGACTTATGAAATTTATAATTTGTGCATCGCACGGGTGAAAGACTAGTAAGTCACAATCACACAACGTCGTATGTTATGTTTGTAGCCAATTATTTTGGTGAAACTATGGACAAAATGAAAATATCACATTGGGCATGGGCAGACCTAGGGGGCAAGTGTCCCCCACCCAACTTTTGAGAATTTTTTTTTAATAAAATCGTGTTTGGTATCGATTGAAATCTAAATCAAAGTTAATAATTAATTTTAATAACATATTTAGTGGAACCCATAACTGTTTAGCATTTATCAAAATTTACTAAAAAATTGATTTTAATCGCCACCAAATAGGGGCAAAATCACAATAAATTTGAATTTCGATAACATGCTAATTTTAAAAATTCTCCGACGATCACTAATCCAATCTACGAATTGCTTATGTCATCACAAAACTTATCTTGAGAATTACATTATAAGCATATCGAATAGTCCAAACAGATATCGAAAATAGTTAAAAATACGTTAAACGCGAGTATTAAAAAAAGACGTCTAACTTGTATTTTTTTTTAAAGATTCAATTATTTCATTAACATTTATTATTTTTGCGATACAAACTTTTCAATGTAATTTTCATCATTTTATTAGGAATTTGATATGGAATATGACATCAAAATTTTTCGATATTTTACATCCGAAAAACATATCCAATGTAAATTTTTGGATACAAAATTAAATGAAGTATGATTTTTTTGGATGTAAATTTTCAATTGTAAAATTTCTCCCAACTTCTTTGTAAGTTCGATTGTGCCTCCTAACTTTTATGGTCTGCATCCACCCCCTGATATTGAGAATTTATGGCCAATTTCTTCATCTATTTTTGAGAAATACACAATGAAGGTCTGATTTAAGATTTGTGAGAAGTTGGCGAGGAAGATAACTAATCGCTTTTTTTTTTTTTTTTAATAAATTGATAAGATGAAAGAGAATAATCATTAATGATCCTTTATTAACCCTCAATTTATGTCACATTATTCTCTTATTTAAACCCATATATTTATATTTTTAGGAAAGATAAAATAAGATTTATGACTTAATTTTTGAAAGAATTCTAAAAGTTTGATTTTTTTGAAATTGTATTCTTAAAGTATGGTAGTTATATATATTATTATTATTTTTTTCGTATTTATGAATGCTATTAAAATCACAAGTGGAAAAATATCCGCGGCATAAGAACATTTTCAAAATGCTATCTATTTATAATCACACTATTCTAATCATTAACGAACTTTATGGTAGACCAGATCTACCCCTCCTTAATTACCTCCGCCTCTGGTCTAATATACCAAATATGCATGCACGCGTCAAAGTTAAATACTTTTCACTCCCACATCCCTAATTGACAAATTCATGCTTACTGTTAATTCAAATTCTCCCAACAACATACTGTTTTGAGTGCACTAACCTTATGGGGTAATTAGACAAAAGGAAGAACATGTTTGCCACTTTATTGACTCTTTTAAAGTTAAATGAACTGATGCATAAGATTTTTAAGCTCATCCTCAAGACATTCCCAGTTCTAGACAACTATTTTTATTTAGCAGTGCCTCCACTAATTAATCCAGGTGGTCCAAAACATCACTTTTATTTGGTTGTGTATACCTATCAACCAATATTGGTCCATTCAAAACATTCCATTGTTGGACCAGTGGGCTTAATTAATATGTACATACCTACAGAGTTTTTTATCCTTCATTATAGCTTACCTGGAGAAAATCTCTATTCATGGTGTCAACAATATCTGATATCTCTACCAATAGTGCAAAAATGATCTAAATCTTGGATACAAGTATCCTCATCTGTTAAGAGTTGATACTAAAGTTAAATGTATCGACCGTGTAGGGATGTAGCTAACACACATCTACACAGTTCTTTTCAAATTAGGGTTTCTCCAGTATGGAACTTTCTGGACATTGAACATGCTGTGTGACATAAAGTTGAATGATTCTGGTTTCTTAATGTTCACCAGATTTCCAACCTAATTACTGTTTGACGAAATTGAGATAAGAGAGTGTGGGACCCAGCTTAGTTGTTAAGACCGGTGAGGAATTTAATGTAGGTACCCCAACTGGCTGAAGCACATTTAGGTGTGACCATTATGTTATTGTGTGATGGAGCTTGACATTCCTGTTTAATTCTTCTGCTCATTAAAACTGTAGTCCTGGACCCTAGTGTTAAACTTTCCATCAAAACTCAAATGAAGGCGAAGTTTATATACCTCATTTGCCGAACACGTTGTGCCTTGCTATCCACTTATTTTAATCTCGACAAATACTTCTATCACTACTAGAAAACACTCTAATAGCAATGCGAAATCAGACAAAAGTCGTTGCTATTTGCGGCAGATTTCATACTAAGCCCAGTTATTGACAGAAAGTGGAGGTGGAACCACAGAAGTTATTTTAAAATACCTTTTTAAAGGTATATAATTTATATATTTTTGGGAGTTACTATGTCTATACATTAAATAACGAAAGATGGTATGCAGAAGAATTTGCATTTTAGTAATAGGCATCTAATAAACTCGTTTTTAAGTGTCTAAAATGCAAATGTCACAGGTAAATAAATTTCCAATTATTTTGTAATTTTCTTGGCTCGGATAATCCCGACATAAGTTAGAAAGATGGATGAAGGCAATTAATTGTTAGGTGTTATAGACTTCACATATTATTCTGAAAACAAGATTCTGCATTTGTAAGGTCTTCAGCTATTAGACATGTATGCATGCCAACATGCTAATATATATAGATTTGCAGGCTCTTCAGTTATAGGCAATCTTGTCTATACGCAGCCTTGTTTCCAATTAGATGCTCTACAACGTGGATGACCCTCAACTAAGGAATCTGGATTATGAAAATTCTGATATGCCAAAACAAGTGTGGTCAGAACCTGGATTAAATAAATAGTAAACTGAAAATTTAAGGAAATTTTTCAGACAAGGGTGGTCACCTAAAGTTTGGATAATAATCTTAACCTAGTTTTGATTGCCATGAGAATGGAAATTTACTTTTATGTATGGAAGCTGCCGTGCCTTTGGAAGACAAAGATCGAAATAAAAGGATACGGATATAAAAGCACTTATCTTTAGCAAGATAAGCATTATCATGTGGAACAAATAGCTTCAATTAGACATGAAGAACATTTATTTAAAAACAATGCTTCGTGCCCGTTTGATAAAATTATTTTTGGGAATAATGAGTTATGGAATAGTACTTTCTTGGAGAATGTGTAGTTAAAAGGTAAGGAAACTTCATGGGCGGACCCAAGGGGGGGTCCTGGGGGGCAGGTGCCCCCCCAACTTTTGAGATTTTTTTGTTTTTTGTTTTTTAAATCACGTTTGTTATCG